GTTATAATAAAAATATAAAAACAAAGGAAGTTTTCTTTTTTTTTTGGTACTGGGGTTCGAACTCGAGACCTTGCACTTTTGAGGCAGGCACCAGAACCACTGAGCTACATCCCCGGCAAAGGAAGTTTCCTATATATTAACTGTATTATTTATTTTAGATGTGGCCCAAGACAATTCATCTTCACTGAATGCAGCTCTGATAAGCCAAAGGGCTGGAAACCCATAGATTAAAATGTCTGATGACTTAAATATCCCTACATCCCTACAATGTTTCCCATGAGCTTTGCGTGAGCAGATATTTGACAATACTCGACTAGTCCATGGTAGTGCATTACATTTTTTGACATCTGCCACATAAATCAGGTGAATCTGATAACATTCCTGGGGAGTGGACAGAGTGAACATCATGGTCTCCAACTGACAAATGAGGAAATGAGATCCAAAAGAACACATAGCTTGTCAAAAATGACATGGCCAACTGATGTCAGAGTGTGTATTAGAACCTCCGTCTCCAACACCCTCATACCTGACCTGCCTCACTCTGGCTGCCTTCCTCCTTTCCATCCCCTCCCACAAAGTCTCACTTCAGATACACGTCAGCACTTTCACAAACAGAAAGAGCCTGGCCCAACCCCTTTAACTAAAATAGCAGTTTAGGACACCTACACACTAACAAGCACGGATGCACATACAACCCACACACTGGACCATCAAAAAACAGAGAATGAATGGACTTTGACAGACCACATATTATATGATTCAACTTAAAGTGGACCCTCGAGTTACAACCGGCCTGACATGCAAACTTGGGTTACAACCAGAATTTTAGTTTTAATTTACAACCAAAATCTTGAGTTACTTAGGTATGACCCAAATGTCAGCCGCTTGTGCTTCCTTCGGTCTCAGACACAGATTTAACCCTTAAAGAGTTCTGGAAGGAGCATGACAGCTTCCTTTCCTGTGTGGGGTTCACTGAGAAATCCTGGGCCAGGGTCTCTCTAAGAACACTGAGATCTGCCTAAATACAGGGGAGAGACCCTGAAGGCTGTATAGAGGAGCCTGAGCCTTCACTGACCAACTTGGGTTGCAACCAGCCCTCGGGAAAGAATTGAGTTCATAAGTCAAAGGGTCCACTGTATATGATACGTCCAGAATAGACAAATCTATAGAGGCAGATATTAGGTTCATACCTTTTTTTTTTGGAAGAGGTGCTACAGGTATTAATTTCTTTTTCCTTTTTGTCTTTTTTGGTACTGGGAATTGAACTCGGCCTCGTGCTTGCCAGGCAGGTGCTGTGCTGCGAGCTACATCCCCAGCCCTACATGTATTCTCTTTAATTGAAGAACTACTCAATGAATTTTAAGTATATGAAATCACTAATTTTGAATGTGTTGAAAAATATATGTATCTGTATCAGTTTATAATAGTAAAACTACCATTCATACGAAGTAATTGAACCAAAATTTTGCATATGAGTGCCACATAATCTCTTACACATGAAAGTTCTTGTAACATCATTTCTGCCTAATAAAAACGTTACTCTCCACTTCTATGACCTAAAGAGTTTCTATTACTTTTAAATCCTTTTAAACTCTGTTTTACACAAATGCAGGTATCTAAATCAGAGACTGATTTATTTTACTCAGTTAGATCTTATTAATTGGGAATTTAACCAGTGTTTAGTATAATTCACATCTATTTCTCTCAATAGCTTTTTTACAAATTTTAATACTTCCTTGGTATTTTTCTTCTGCTACTTTTTCTTGGGTTTTCCCTTGTTTTCTATTCTAGAAAACTGGAGTGTATCTATTTTTGTCCACAACTTAATGACAAACTGACTTACATGAACTATCATCTGATGCAGTAATTACTGGTTTTCCCAATCAGTATTTCAAACATATCCACTCCTCTCCAACCAATGCTTTGGAAATTTTCTCCTTACATTATTAGTATTAACATTACGAACTTCTTAGTTTTTTTTTAAAGGAATTAAAACTGTACCATTTTCCAATTTTGTCAGATGAACATTTAGAATGTCTTTTCTGTACTTTTTTGGCCACAGTGACAAAGAACTTCTATTTAACATACATTTGGCTTAACAACATCCATCTTTATATTGCATGTAAAAAATAAAATAGTGCAGTAGTTATTTACATTGACTATTTGGTATGCATTTTGACAGTTTCAAACTACATAAACTGAAAATTTTAGATCTAGTTTATAAATCTATTTTGCATTATCTCCTTATTCTATTTAATTTTTCTGCTGGCTGCAGTAAATCATTCAGAAAAATTTTGAGAAAGTCCTTGGTCAATGCACTTTCTTAACCCCTTGGTATCTGAGACTGTCTTCCAGCTACCTTCATACACATACTAGCTGGGGAGGGTCTATAATTCTTGGTTCAAAATTATTTTCCTGTAAAACTCTGTAAATGTTGTTCCATTGTCCCCTGTCAGTTAAAACTGTAAGAGAAAAATCTGAGGTCAGTCTGACTTTTCCCCCTTTATAAGTAACCTGTTTCACTGCTTGGATACTTGCAAAATTTTTTCTTTATCCTTGAAATTTTAAAAAGTCACAACAGTATGTCTAGGTGTCACTTTCTTCTCATTAAATTTTAAAGAAACCATGTGTGCCTTCTTCATTTGCAGACCTACTTTGTTCTTCAACTTTGAAAATTTTTCTTCAATTAGTTCCGCAATTATTGTTTCAGCTTCACTTGCTTTGTCCTCTGTTTCAGGTTTTCCTATTACACATAGACCATACCTCCTGGACAGGCCCTCTACCTCTCTCTTTTTCTCTTCTTTCCTCATCTTAATTTCTTTGGGCTCTTGCTCTGCAGTCTGTGAGAATTTCTCGTTTTCCATTTACTTCAGGAATTTTATTTTGTAACTGACCCTTCTCCACTCCCTTTAAATAGGCCTCGATCATGGGCCGGGGATTTAGTTTGGTGGTTCTGCTGCATGCCTCGCAAGTGCAAGGTCCTGAGTTCGATCCCTGGTACCTGCCCCCGAAAAAAAAAAAAAAATAGGCCTCGATTTCCTCCATGTGGTCACACAACACCTGGTTTACAACTAAGGCCACGTGGGCAAGGAAGTTACAGTCAACAATTGCTGCAAGTCTGCTGTAGGTCAGCAGATTGCAATAGTCCAGTACATCAGCATCAAGAGGAGGTATTTTCTTGATTAACTAATTCTACTCCTTTCTTCTGAACTGTGGTCTTATAGCCTTTATAATGGCTCTTCGCCATGGGGTCCAAGTGGTCTTCCTAAGCACTGAAGTTGAAGAACAACCAAAATCAGATTTATGGGGTCTGGGGATTTAGCTCAGTGGTTCCTCGGCCTGCCTTGCAAATGCAAGGTCCTGAGTTTGATCCCTGGTACAAAAAAAAAAACCAAAAAAAACCCCAAAACAATATACTGTAATACTCAAAATATACTAAATAATCAATATAGCCAAAATGTCTTATTGTACCATATTCATCCTTCTCATGATGAGAGAGCATAAAATGCCTACATGATGAGATAGAGGTAAGTCATTCATCCACTGTGACACACTGTTATGCCTACTACCTAAGGGCTCCTGACCACAAGTGTTGTGATACCTCAATAACTAATCTGATAACTGAGATGGCTTCAAATGATAAAAGGTGGCAGTCTATACAGCATGCGTAAGGTGGGCGAAGGGGCGACTCATGTTCCAGGAAGGATGGAGAAGGGCAGTGTGAGAGTTCTTCAAGCTTCTCAGAATGGCATGCAACTTAAAACTTATTGTCTTCCTTCCTTTCTTCCATCCATCAACCCTCTTTCCATCCATTCATCCACCTGTCCATCCATCCGTGCATCCTTTTTTGAACTTGACTCTTCACTTTTTTTTATTAATGCATGCTAGTAATACAGAATGGTGAGGTTCATTTGGGGAAAATGACACATACATTTATCATATTTTGATCATTTTCAATCCCAATAACCCCTTCTCCCTCCTCCCCAACCTAATCCTCTTCCCATCTCCAAAAGTCTACCTTTTAGTTTCCTGTCATCTCTCCTTTAGTTTGTTCATTTGTTCATTCATTCATTCATTTTTCAGGTTACTCACATAAAAAAACAATGAATGCTGGGAAGGATGTAGGGGAAAAGAACCCTTCCTCCACTGTTGGTGGGAATGTAAACTGGTACAACCACTATGGAGATTCCTCAAAAAACTAACACTAGAAATTCCATTCAACCCAGCTATAACATTCCTGGGGATATTCCTGAATGAATTATTTCTAGAATTTTCCATTTATATCTTCAGTTCAAGGTTGACTATAGGTAACTGAACCCACCAAAAAGTAAAACCATAGATAGGGTACTGTTGTGGGCTATCTGGCCTGCAGCAGATTGATAGGGTCCTTTATAGCTCTATCTCCTCTGAGTCTCTGATCTTGTGGGGTCATTTACATCATGGTCACTAAATTCCTTCATCCATCAATCTATTCATCCACCCAAATATAGAGAGAGAGGAGAGAAAAAATCTATACATTTTAATAGATAATAGGTGTGCATGGACCACATTCAGTAAGATGAAAAAGGCTGAGTCAGTTTCCCAGCCATCTAGTTCTTCTAGGAACAAGCATTGTTACTAGTTTCTTCAATAACTTTTAAACTTTTATGTTTCCACAGTGGAATGTGTAAAATTATCAATTCTTGGTATACCTGTGTCATGGGCCAAATGAACCTTTGTCTCTCGACTTACCAATCTATTACATGAAATTCCCACTTCTGTTACAGAAAAAAGACATCCACCCAAATTCTACTCCCACCACACACACAATCGCCATGCAGCAGGAATTAGAATCCGTATGTTTTATACTCAGTTCAAGCATTATCATTGAATAGTATATCTCCCTTTGACAATTATTTCTCTGATAGCATTAGAGACACAAGATGTATTGTTTCTAGGAAGAATCAACAAAATTAAAACACAATTCAGCTGTCAATGCATTAAGCTTATTCTGAACTTACAGGTATTGTGCAGCTGTCTGAATCTCGAGATGTAAATCCAACATTGCCCAAGTGAAGGATGCCAGCAAGTATTCGAAAAATTCCCATTTGATAAGATTCACTGATTCCTGAAACAAAAGAGTAAATGAACAATAATTTCATTAATTTCAGAATACCAACTAAACAATGATAGCAGCTATTTTAAACCCATTATTAATTTTAACCCTACTGTTAATTCTCCAATCTCGCCAGACGCTGCACACGTGGAAATGTGCTGTGGTAACCATACGCTTCTCCATGTTGACATGAACCCCCAAGGCAGCTGATCATCATAGGTGATGGCAGGGCTGCACAGTGTGACCGACCCATCTGGGCTCAACCTGCCTCTGCTGCGAATGTGCTCTCACCTGCAAGGGAGCGCCACCTGCTAGGCTTCTGTTTTCTCACCTGAGGTACAGGTAAGAGTAAACACCTTACTGAGTACTTGCGAAGATGAAATGAGTTAATGCACACAGCATCCCGAGCACACTGTGTGACACATGGTAAGCACCACCATCATTGTCACTCCCTGAATGTAACTGTTATTAATTAGTGTTACTGACATTTCTATTTATTTCTACTCCAAATGCAAGCTGCAGATCAATAAAGCTATTTCAAATCAGATTGTAAAGTCTTCTAGCTACAGACTAAGTATAAATGACAGGGGCCCCAAGATTAGAAGCGTTCATACTGATGTGTGCCCCGGCCTGATGAGGAAATGTCCACCCCAGCAGACAGGATGGGGACACTGGGCAGTCCTTGGCTCTTACTGGTCTGGCCTCATTTTTCAGTAAGGTCAGACTTTCTAGAATATTAGATGCAATTATATGGAAGTAGCAATAGTAAAACTATTTCCAAATACGTAATTAAATACAGGGTAATCCAGGGTTGACCTTATAATAGTACTTTTGCTGTCCTCCTACATTACGACTTTTTCAAATTTATAATCTATCCCTAGAAGTAAAGTAGTGTTTAATATGCATGTGAATCAGCAACAGATTTTGTTAAAATGTAGATTCTGATTCAGCAGGTCTGAGGCTGGGTATGATATTCTGCATTTCTAGCAAGTTCCACTGTGATTCTGGACCACACTGTGATTAGCAGTGCTTATAAATTAACTTACTTGAGGGTTCTCCTCAAAATACCAACATACAATTTTTGAGTTAACAATCTGCAGTTTTAACAAAAAATAATTCACCTCTAAAGCTTGTAGACTGAAACTCTAAAGATTAATTTAGTCACATGCAGACCTGACACCGAGATAGTAACATCTGAGCTGTCTCCACATGGTGCAATGAACTGGGTGTTAACACAGTGTTTGTCACCATGTCAGCTCCTCACATTTCCTAGCCACAAAAGAGCCCCCAAATGAAAACCAAAGCCTCCCACAAAATGTGAGCTTACAGAAGAAACCATTTCATTTAGCTTTAGGTTCTAGATTTTAGTAAAATTTTGAGCAAAGAATTACTGTCTCTCTCCAGAGTTACTCCTTGATGCCTCGAATATGTTTCTAAAAATGGCTTTATTAAGGCATAATTTGCATAAAATTCATCCATTTTAAGTTTGTAATTAAATTATAAATTTACGAAGTTGTATGAACACTACCACACTCTAATTTTAGCACTATCCATTGCCCCCAAAGAAACCTCCTGCCCACGCGCCTCTCCCGCCAACACCACTGACCACACAACCACGCCAGTGCTGCACACAAGGCTGGTGTGGCTCCTGCTCAGAGCTCGAGCAGTCACCTACCCAGCAGCGAGCAGGCCTGCCTGGTGTGTACCATCTCCTTGGCATCGTCCACGCCCTCGATCACAGGGCTGCCCCCCTGCTTGGCGTAATGGAAGCGATCTGCAGCTCCTGGAATGAAGCAAGATAAAGGCTTGCAGTCCACAAAGCAGCTCTGACTTCTGCCCTTAGGACCACTCTGGAGTACACAGTGTATAGAGTATACAGAATACAGTGTCTAACACATAGTGTCTTCAGTTTAACTGCCAATTATATTTTAATACAAAACTCAACTGAACAATGAAGAAAAATATTTACATTTATCTTAAATGGTGAAATGAACAGTCCTTTCCTAAAGGTTTAATTCCAAACTATATGGCAGGACAATGTCCTCCCATGCTACTCTCTTGATCAGAAACCCTACAGCCTCCATCCAGTAACTCCTTTAAAATGTTCTTTTTTCAACTAGGGCAAATTTAAAACATACACAAAAGTAGAGAGCAGTGTGATGAATCCCCACATACTCATCAGCCATCCGAACCAGCATCAGCCTGGCCAGTCCTGTCCAGGGACACAGCAACCCCTACTCCCTCCTTCTCCACTGCTGGCTGCCTGGAAGCCAACTGCAGATGTCTTAACCATTTACCCATAAGTATTTCAGAGTTAGATAAGCTCCTTTTTAGCAACTAAATGTAGAAACTCAAAAATTAACAGAAAACAATACAGCACAATAAATCTAAAGACAGCCAGGGATGTACCCCACTGGCACAGCACCTGCTTGGCAAGCGTGAGGTCCTGAGTTCGATGCCCAGTACCAAAAAAAAAAAATCTAATGACATATTCATACCTAATCGTAGCATTTTAAATTCAGGTAACTTTGCTGAGGCACAAAGCTGATAGAAGATATGATAGTTTCTCTCCTCTTCTGCCTTTGAAATAAGAAAAGTTTTCAATTACAGCATTTTACTCTAAACCTCAGAAGATTCTATCCTAAAACACAATTTTAATACTGAATTATCTCAGTTGAAATAAACTGTCCTTTCCCAAATTTCCTAAGACTCAGGTGTGACTATTAACCCTCAGGACCTACAGTCCACGTGCAGGCCAGGCGCGGTGATACACACCTGTCGTCGCAGCTGCTCAGTAAGCTATGACAGCAGGATCGCTGGGGCCCGGGAGTTTGGAGGCAGCCTAGGCAACACATGAGACCTGATCTCTCTTTATTATCCCTTACTGTTCTAACTAACCATATCATATTCTAAAAAAGAAGGAAAGAAACTGTGATTTAACCCATGCTTTCCCTATCAATTGGGAAAAAGGAGACATAAGACTAAACTAACAGCACCTCTTCTTACTCTTTCCAATGAACATCTGTAGGAAACAGCCACCATCACTAAACCTAAGCCATCCACATCCAATGGTAGGATAGCCTGGCTGCTCAGAAGCGGCTGGTTTTACAAATAGAGTGGTTGATAGGAAAACAGAGAGAGCTCAAATAAACAACCTAATGCCGAATCAAGCTCCTAGAAGAAGAAGAGCAGGACAAACCCAAAGCTTGTACAAAGGAGGAAATTATAAAGATCAGAGCAGAAATCAATGCAATGGAGACTAAGAGAGTGATACAAAAAAAATCAACGAATCAAAGAGTTGGTTTTTCGAAAGAATAAATAAAACTGATAAAACCTTAGTCAACCTTATCAAAAAAAGGAAAGAAAAGGCTCAAATCCATGCAATTAGGAATGAAAAAGGTGAAGTCACAACAGATCCAACAGAAATCCAGAGGATCATCAATACCTACTTCGAGAACCTGTACTCTAATAAAATGGAAAACACAGAAGAAATGGACAGATTTCTAGATACATATGAATTACGAAAGTTGAATGAAGATATAAAAATTCTAAACATCCCAATTACAATCAGTGAAATTGAAAA